TTAGCATGGAGCGCATCCAGTTTATAATGACCATCCCCACTCCAGTACGCTCCACCGCCCTGCAGATCGAGTACAGGACCGACCGTATTATTGAAGGCCCCTTCGATGTCCGCGAACACTCCAGACCCTCCTCCATTCTGGAAGTCAGATGGTGAAGAGCGGAACCCACAGACCCGCCAGTTCGGTAAGCATGCTGGGTTGGCTCTAATGGGGCCTCCAGCTCCACCCAGTCCCTTAGATACCGGTCCACAAGTCTCCAGATATTTAGGTATTAAAGACATTCGTATGTTCCTTTGTTAAAACAATGGGTTAGACCATTTAGCTACTAGAGATATAGAAACTCTCTATGCTGATAAAAAATGACTTCGGTATTCTACCACGGATATGACCACTGACAGATCATCAATAAGTTTTTTCAAAATATGTCCGAATTATGTTAAAATGCCATTAAATATTCAGGAGTTAGGTGCGTCTATATTCGCTGGTTAGGGCGTAAATCTAAAGGCACGCGTTCAAGATTGTTTGCATCTCTATCAGAGCTACCTAAGACACACATCAGTTTTTATCCGAGCAGGGCCACTATATCATCTATTGAGGCCAACTCGGTGAAGTAAGTGGTAGCAAGGGGTCTAGTATGATCGAATGCATGTTTCTCTAAACTTGGTTAGTAGGAGATTTGTAGCATTTCTTAAAGCTAAAATTTTCGTAAAAGGAGAGAAATCCAAATTCTTGATACCATTGTTTTATCTGTGGGGCCCAGTTGTTCTTTGTTACTTGAAGTACTACTTGAGACAGGGCCAAGAGACTTTGTAAAAAGAAGTTTGAACTCTATCAAGTATATTTACATAACGAGATGCTCACATGCACAATTTGTCGAACTATTTAGAATAAGGGAGTCAAAGTGTTGCGTAATAGTTGATGAAATCAGCTGTGCTTTTGCAATTTTTCACAATTTTTGATAGCGGCTAAAGGTTTCTCCCAGATAAGTAACATTTTTAACCCTCTCAATTTGTTTCTTTCAAAACGAAGAACTGGAAATTCAACAGCCTAGTCGCTTAGAAAAAGATGTGTAAAACCAAACCCTTGCAATGGTCGTTGAAGTGTACTGTTGAGGGGGGAAAAACGTCAAAGTTTGCCCAAGCACTTTTCCCTAAACACTAAAATCGGGTAATATTTTATTGCAGCTTGGGCCGCCGAAATTATTAAGGGTCCACGTCTAAACCGAACGAGTTACGCACTCAGGTTTCATTCGACGGGCGACGCTGAAAAAGGGGTATAATATAATACTACGTCGACATAGTCGACGGGCGGTGAAACGTCGACTAATGAGATTGAATACGTCACGTCAGAAAATGAACCCGAGGCACTAAATTGGTGCGCCTAAGTTACCGACCGAGGAGTTGCTGCTGCTTGCACATACCGTTGCCGCGTCCCGAACTGGATAATATATTACTACAGATTGCTGACTAAATTACGTTGCACCTTGCTTACCGCCCAAATGGACGGTGATAAATTCCCGAGACATTACTGGGTATACCTTGAGATCATGGCTCCCGGGTCCCGGACCGGGACTTGGCGGCAGATTAACAGGGTTTTTACTGCCAAGATTAAGTCCGCGCCGTCTAGCGGCCGTATATTACGCGGTCGAGGGTGAAACTGAAGAAGACTCCCCGGGGAAATTTCTTTTATTTTTAGTTACCTACGTCAACAAGGGTTTTTGTGCCGCAGGACGTATTAAACTTGGCTCATCGGGGATTTACTAAATGACGCGCTGGTTGAGTGACAACTAACTACGTTTCGAATTTATCGAATGGTAAAGATAACTGGAACGTTCATGATAATAAACACAGAGAAGTTACTTTAATTATTGCTACTACTGCACTATTGAACAAAACAGGACATAAAACATGGCTTCGTCCACGCATTATCTGATCGGAGAAATGGTAAGTTATATATAAAAAAAGTTTAATTCAAAAATTTCTGGTATTTACTTGTTAAGTCCAGGTACAAACTTTTCTCTTTTATTGATGGCATTAGGTTGTCAAATATATTCGATATATACAGTATGCTCAGCCTGTTCAGCCAAATTATCAATGCGTACTGTTTTTTAATTGCATATGAATTTAGAAACTTCCAAAAGTTGCCCTTTTTTTGTAACTGAATTCGAAATAAATATCATTTTCTAACAAATATTCCAGGATTTTAGTTTTTGAGCTTGATGAGTCTGGAGCTTCGCTTAGCAGACGGCTCTGGTAGCTTGCTTTATCCACGACAATAACACTGTTGGGAATATGTTGGAAAAGAATTATTTGAAACCAATTTTCACAATGTTCTGTAGTTGTTTCGTCATGATAATCCTGCAAATGCTTTGCAGACAACAGCATCCAGTTTGGGACAAATTCGTCTTCTGACCCAGCGTGTATTATGAAATAATACGTTTTCCTTTATTTAAAGGTACTTTCGTCTGACAATTTTCAGTGAAAACAACTCATCCTTTGGATACAGTGTTGTGTGTATGTACCATGTTTCATGAAAGTAAATTATGGATCTGTTATCTAATCCATATCTTTTAGTTTCTTGAAGGTAATTAAATCTCGGAGTATGTAATCCATGTGATTCCATTACTACTTGAATTTGGATATTTTGCAAACATCTCTATGGAGGATTATATTTATATTAATATCATCTTTTCAGCTTCTTTCTCAGTTTATCCAAGGTAGGAACAACTTAGCCTTGATAAAGACAATACATTTTTGTTCTTATTAGTGTATTAGTGTAGTGATCACTATTGTCTATACGGTGAGTTTGAAAATCAATACGTTTATTCCTTTTCTTCAACTCTCCACTATTAATAATATACGATATTGACGTCTTTGTTAGTAGACAAACGATTTCGAAGCGACATTGTAATACTCTCGTAAAATAACTTCTTCCAAAAACTCAGAGTTAAAACGAATATTCAAAACTGCCACAAATGGTTCACGCACAAGAAATATACCAGAAAGGAAAAAATATACCTGGCCCATCCTTGCCTTGTCACTCCAAAAAGAATAAATTTTTTGTTAATGGCTTTACCCAATAACAACAGGTAATAACATCGTTAAAGTTTTATTGGGGAGGATCCGTTGAAACCCAACACGATGAAAATTGATACAGACAAGGTGCCTGAGTTTTTTACCTGTTTTCACTCGTATGCTAAAAATGGCAAAATCCACCTTTTTACTTGGCCATGTTCTACCATTGTCTATTACGCCTCGGTGTCGTGTACACTCGACAGAGATGGCACCAATTACCGGATAACTACAGTGGTTTCCACTACAAAACATGGACGCATTTTTGAAAAATTGCTGCTGAAACTGAAAAGGCTGGCTTTAATTATTATAGATAATGCAGGATATCATTCTAGACTTAGTGAAAGGGTACCAAACACATTGGCAAAATTTATCAATTTTTTCAAAAATTACATCAAACAAACTTGCCTTATGCTACAGACGAAATAATTGTATATTTAATGCCATATATTTGATGTGGGCTCAGTGCGAAATGTTTTTTAATAAAAATATTTTAAGTGAGGCTCTCCAGATAAAAATATTTTAAGTGAGGCTCTCCAGACAGCTACCAAATCAGTTGAATCTGTTGTATAACACATACAGAAAATACTTAATAAAAGAATTGCGTGAATGTTGTAAAACTGTAAATTACCAAACAACTATATAGTGAACCGTTGATTTTTGGGTTAAGGTATGTAATCGTAATATAAAAAATTATGTATGTTTTATTGTTGTGCATCTATTTTTATACTATTTTTAATCATTTTGTATGTTCTATTGACTTGCACTAGTAATTTTTAATCATTTCAATCTATTTTGCTGACTCCTATACAAATTTTTATCTATGTTTTAATTATGACCAGGAAAATAATGCTATAAATAATTTTATTTAAAAATACATTTTTGTAGGTTAAAATTAAATGTCTGAATAAGGTCTTGATGGCGCTCCTTGTTGATAAAGGAGTGCAAAGGGGTACTGAGGAGGGTGGCTGAGGAGAGAAAGGTCACGTTGGTCTGGGTCCCGGGTCACACCGGTATGGGGGGCAATGAGGCAGCGGACGCCTTAGCCAGGGAGGGCTCCTCACATAGGCATATAGGGCCAGAGCCCCGCTTGGGGATCGCCCCGTGTGTGAGGCGGGGAGCTCTCGAAGCCTGGGCGAGAGACCGGGCCGCGGGGGACTGGAGAGTTGCTCCGGGAATGAGGCAGGCGAGGCTTATGATGGATGGGCCCGCCCTTCCTCGGACCAGGGAGCTGCTTAGACTGACCAGAAGGGAGTGTAGAGCACTAACAGGGGCCTACACAGGACATTGCAGGCTTAGGAGGCATCTTTACTTGCTAGGCATTGGAGACGACCCGGAGTGTAGGTGGTGCATGGAAGGGGAGGAGACCCCGTATCATCTGCTCACCGAGTGCCCTGCCTTGACATGGGCAAGATTGGGAGTCTTCGGAACGGCCCTGATCGATCCGGACTCAGTGCACGGTATTGGGCTAAAGGAGTTGCTGACCTTCTACAGGAGGGGCGGCATTCTGGACGCCCTCTAGAGCGACCTGGGGGCACAACGGGCCCATCTGGTGGCCTAAGTGCTTGGACGCCCGCGAGGGCTCCCCCCTTTAATACCAATACCAATACCAAGGTCTTGATGGCCGAAACGTCACAAAAAATAAAATGTTTCAAAAGTAACGGAAACTTATTTTAATTTCACTAAAAAAGGACCAAAAAAAGTCCATCTCTGTTGCCTCCAGCGTTCTCATGGTTCATGTTTTAGTGGCCAGACTTCACTGCTGTATGTGACTATGCGCTTAATGATCGTATTGTATATTAGGTGTTTGTTTCGTCTCGTGATTTTTTGGTGCCACAAGAAGGTGTTCAGCATAGTAATGGCCTTTCTGCCTTAATTATTTCGTTGTTTGATGGCGTAGTCTAACGTCCCACTGCTGGATATGTACATTCAAAGGTATTTGTAGGGTTCGCAGGTTTTGATAGTCTGACCGTCCTCTAAGAGGAGGTCGCGTTGTGCTCCACCGATACACATATACTTTGTCTTTGGTAAGTTTACTTCCAACCCCCATTTCTTGTATTCTTCGATCAGGTTTCGCGTCATGTATTCTACGTCATCGTACTCTTGCGCCATTATGACTTGGTCATCTGCGAAGCTTAGGGTGTATATGTTTGCATTGTTACGGCGGATGCCCATATTTCTGCATTTTTGCTTCCATATCCTTAACGCTTGTTCAAGATACATCTTGAAAAGGGTGGGTGATACAGAACACCCTTGTTTGAGTCCCTCGTTGGGTGTAAATCTATTGGACATTTTTGGGCCGACCTTGACTTTAATGTGACAGTTTCCATATAGTTCTTTCACTGATCTTATTATGTTGACGCTTAGGTTTGTCGGGTCTGATGCCTCCCAAAGTTTTGTTAGCGGTATGCTATCGTATGCCTTCTTCAGATCCACGAACAACGATGTATCTCCTTATTGAATGCTATCATTTTCTCGATAAGCTGGGTGACGCAAAACAGATGGTCAACGACGGATCTTTCCGTGCGAAAGCCCGCTTGTTCTTCTGCTTCACTGTTTGTGTATTCACGTTCTATTTTGGCCTTTAATATTTTACCTTAAATCCGACCGATTGAGCTCGTCACTGCGATACCTCGATAGTTATTGCAGTTTTCATTGTTGCCCTTTTTGTGGATAGGGGTAAGGAAGGATAATTTCCATTCTTCTGGGATATCTCCGCCTTTGATACAATTTTGAAAGAGCTTTGCTAGATGTTCATACAGTTTGTGTGTTCCATGTTTGATTAATTCTGCGGGAACATTACCTGGCCCTGGTGATTTTTTATTCCTTAAGTTTGTGCAAATATCTTCTGCCTCATTAATGCTGATTCTGGTCGGTGAAGCCGAAACCTGTATTATGCTAGGGCTGTCGTCTTCAAGGAACTGTTCTCGGTCCTCTGTTAAAAGCTTATGGAAATATTCATCCCATTTATTTGTTGTGACGGGAGTTACTATCTCTCTCTTTGTGTTTTGGCGTAGAGATTTCAGAAGCTTTCACTACTTTTTGTTCCTCCCAGGTAGGTATTTATTTTGTTGCATTTTTTTCCCATGATTCATTTTTCTTCTGGATTATTTTTCTTCTTACTTGGGTTTGTGCTTCTTGGAGGACTATCTTATGGTAGCTTGATTTGCTGGATAGGTAGTGTTGGTACTTTTATCTTTTATCTTCAATATCTTGTTTAATTTCCTCGTCCCACCAATAGGGTTTGTTAGATTTCCGGTCTTCGCAGTATCCCATCGCTTCTTGGGCTGCTTCTTTCAGGCATTGTTTAATATATTCGTAATGTTCTGTATTATTATTAAAATGTTGTGGCTGGAGTTTCTGGTTAAGTCTTTTTTTGTATAGGTCTTTCGTACTTTACTGCTCAAAGCTCTCAAGGGGTTGTCTCATACTTAAATATTCGGGTATCATTAAGAAACACCCTGATCTATTATTACATAGAAAATGCAGGAGTATCAGTATGGACCATTTAAATTAATTAATGTTAAGTTCAACAGACATTTAGGGGGAACAACATCTGTTGAAGTATAAGTGGAAGCAACAATCTAATTTATACCGACTTTTTTGGACTTTCAACAAACAACCAAACAATCATAACCGTAACTCAGACTTTACTTTTTACCACTCAACCGAGACAATATTCAAGTCCTCTTTTTGCTCTACCCTTCTCAAACATCATAAAAGCCGGTACAGAGTAGAATACGAGTCAGTTCCAATTTAGCTCTGAAGAACTCAACAGGATGATTTATAAAGTAAATTAGTCATTCAATAATGTATGATCAATAATTCGGAACTACATAGTGGGGTTCCATTTAAAAAACCAAGTACGTAAATTTACAAAACATAGATCGTGGCAACATATTAGCAAGCTTCTCGTTTTAAAAATTGCTAAACAGTTTCCCTTCATGTAAAAAAATGACGTTTTTGGACATATCGTTGAAACTCATCTTGAAACGCACTCTCGGAAGAATGTGTGTCATTATGTAGGGTGTTAAGAAAGATTTATGAAAGTTTATGAAAGTCATATACTTAACGAAGTGCCTGAAGAAGTTTATAAACATGTTGTATATTGTATTTTTCTACAAGCACCAATAAAACTTAAATGTATTGTTAAATCGTATTCCCTTCACAAAAAAAAATGCGTCCCTTTTTCTATCTGCCCGTCGTATCTTAAGTACCTAAGACGAGTTTGAACTTTGCAATTTCTAGAATGTCGAAATTGTCGTCTAACTTTTTCACGTGCCGGAAAAAAAGAAGCGTAATTTAACTGGCTTTTGAACGGCAAAGAGGGCTAGGGTTGTCATCGGCGATAATTTCTTCACGATTGCTTTTTTTCGTTTAAGCGCAACGTAATCGTTCAATAACAGACCACAATAGTACAATTTTGTTTGAAAATATGCAACTAGTATTTTAAAGAATGATTTTTATTTAAAATAAAGGGTGATTCAATAAGGGTTTTCAGATTCAAATAATAAAAAAAACTCGGAAGGATATAAAAATATACAAACAATTTTATTTGCCATTTTAGATTAGTGTATTACAATTAGATATGAAAGATGATGTCATTCAAATGACCTAAGCAACTCGTGTGGCATGACGTAAGTTTATTGAAATTTCCTATCACTTTTCGCGTCTAATCTCCTGTTTCAGCTCTGGAATAGTGTTTGGTTTATTTCTATACACTGTGTTTTTTAGATACCTCAAAAAAAATCTAGAGAAGTAAGATGATTGCTGCGGCCAATTGATATTGTCGTTACGTGAGATAATCCGAACATGAAACTTGCCCCGCAGCAATTGCATCATTTCTCTGGATGCGTGACAAGTGGCTAAATCCTGTTGGAACCACAAATCTTCAATGTCCATACCTTCCAACTGCTCCCAGAAAAAATGAGATATCATGTTTCGATAGCGAACACCATTAACCATAACAGCGGTCTCCGCATTACCCTCGAAAAAAAAGGGCCAATTATTCCTCCGCACCAAACAGTCACTATTTGAGGATGCATTGCTTTTTGAACAATTTCTCTTGGATATTCTATTCCTGAAATATGAGCATTGTGTTTGTTTACAAAGCCACCAACGTGAAAATGTGCCTCATCGCTAAAGATGATTTTCGTTGTTCTCGTATCCATTCTGCAAACACGCGGCGCTGTTTATGATCTCGAGGTTTCAACTCCTGAGTTGTTTGGACTTTATATGGGTGTAGATGCACGTCTTTTGTTAAAATTCGCTGTGTGGTTGAATACGTAAGGCCCACTTGCTGCGATCGATGACGAATCGATGTGTTTGGATTTTCGGCTACACTGACCGACCTGCACGAACACGTTGAGGAATGTTAAGGTTAGTTACAGATCCAGTTTGCTCAAATTTTTGAGCTACATTCCAAATTGTCTTCTCAGATTTTTCTTGATCGACCATTTTCATAATAGGCTTGCAAAATTTTTACACGTTGTTCAGTCGTATATTGCTCCATGACTAATTTTGTTTATGTCTTGAGGTTAGAAATCTCATATGATAATAAACAAATACAGTGGCGTTTCAAAAATATTTCAGATTGTAATGTGGAAACTCTTATTGAATCACCCGTTATAAGAATGGACGATAATTACTCTTACAAAGCAGCTCTAGGACTTTCATTATTTATTATTTATATGATTTCAGATGCCGAATAAGCAACACATCCTGCGATAATACCCTACTTCCACATAGTCATCATAAGTGGCCATATAACTGTAACATGGAGGACAACAAAAAAGGAGTTTTAAAATCTTTTTAAAAGATTTCTAATTACTTTTGGTTACTACTTTTACTATCGCCAGTAAGAAATTTACCGGAATACTGAACAAATTCCTAAATGGAATTATGACCTTCGGGAATTTTTGTTATGTATTTTTCTTTTCTTTTCAGATTGAAGAATTGAACTTTAAATTGTCTTTCGAAAATTTTGATCAATAAATTTTTAATGCCGATTTGGCACAGCTTCCTTGGTATTTATTGGTTAGAGAACATAATATTGACCAAAAAATTAATATTTTTTAAAAGTTCATTTTATCGATTTACGGTCGTCACGCCCCAATAAACGAAATAAGAGTTAGCTGAACCAAAGCTCGCTGGCTAACACAGAATTTGAAATTAATAATGAAAGAGCTCGAATTCGCCTTACGAAAGTTGAATAGATCTAAAAATATAGCTGATTTTAGTAGATATAAAGACCTCCGTAACTTTGCCTTTACATGTCTTCGTAAAGAAAAAAAGGCTTATAGTGGTACATTAATGGCCAACACAACGAATCCTATAAAGCTGTGGTATACAGTAAATGATTTTAGTATAAAAGCCAATAAATCGACGGAAATTCCTATACACTTGTCCGATCCTAAGATTGCTACAAATTATGTCTAATAACGGTAAAAATCAAATAGATTTTTTTTAAAACGCCTTTGACGATTCGAACTGTTGGCAATCCTCTGCCTCAAAAACCTAACCCAGAGCAATTTTCTGATCTGCGTGTTATCAGTCTCCTTCCAGCAATTTCTAAAATTTTAGAAAATTTCTCGATATTAATGTTAGCTTAAATACTATTTGTTGGACAATTCAGCTCTAAATTTATCTAAATCGTATTTAGTTGGCAAGTCTCAGAGTATAAATTACAATGGTAGACCTCTATTTTTTAATTTATACAACTAGTATTTTAAAATCTCCAGCTGTCTGCAGTGTTCAAGCTTACGCTTTTGATGAATACGATTATTTTGATGTCAATAATGCTAACAATACAATGATTAACAATGAATTGGAAAATTTGTGTAAAGTAAGTGAAGTAAGTCTTATGTACGATTCTTTAGTTCAAACGAAAAGGTAATTGTTGCTAAAAAACAAATTTCTTTAAAAATTAATAATATTCAGTTAAATGTTGTTGATTCTTCTAGATCTTAGACACGGAGAATAGGTTTTGTGAACATGGTTAAAAATGGAAAAGCGTAGTACTCAAATTTAACTCATCGGCTTTTTATGTGTAGTTACCCTGCCCCCCTCCAAGCCAAGTTTCAGTTACGTCCTCAGAGCCGTTCACGTAATAATTTAAGAAATAAAAGCGTGTTTTCAATTCCTAAATATCATACTTCCCTGTTTCGAAGAATCTATATGTATTCTACAATTATGTTATACAATTCGCTGCCAGAAAAAAAAAAAACTTTCTATGAAGAAGTTTAAAATAGAATTTAAAAAATACCAACTTCCGGGGTTAAAAAATTAATCGAGCTATACCTAACGTAGAGTAACAATATGTGTGCGTGTGTGTGTTTTTGTCTATTATTTTCGATTTTTCTCTCGCTTCTAGTGGTTAGGTAGAATAGCTTTCAAGCTAGACCTCGCCACATTGAAGCCCTTTGTTTATTTATGAAATGTAATTTTGGAAAAAATGTAATTAATAAAAGACGTTTTATTATTATTATTATTATGATATTGTATATGGTCTTGAGTTGAATGAGTCTTAGCCGAGTACAATTCAGAGTTTCGAGTGAACGAATACGAACGATTTGTACTGGAAAATTATGCCCCACT